TTTCAACTCCCAGGTTCGTCGTGTTTTGGGGTGTTTTGTTTGTTCAGCTGGAATGGCCATCAAACAGCCAGTCCGTGTCTTCCGCGTCGAACTCCCTCTCTGCTCCTGCCTCTCGCTCCCTCCTGAGACGACTGTCCCCTCTCACGCTCTCTCTCCCGGGCCGGCTGCGCCTCACGACACGGATGGTAACGAGCCCTAGAGGAACAACACAAAAACATTAGTGATCCAATATCTTAATAACTTTTTTGGCTTTAAGGGTTCTAAAGAACGTCACATGAGCAAGCTGAAATACTCCTGGTCTAATGTCACAGTACAAATAATAGTCTTTTTTTTGTAAAATACAATTTTATTCAAATTCAATATTTAAATAATGTGACAGTAAATTTTACTTTTGATATTAATCTGTATGTGGTGGTAATAAAATATATAGGCTATACTGTATATGCTGATAAGCTATTTCAAAATGTTGAGTAAAATGCTCTCTATTTAACAAAGTACAGAATAATAGAACCAAAGCAAGTTGGCTACACATAACCCTTATTTATTGTCATATATGTGAGCATGGTCTTAATGCTATGCACTCACTTTTTAAAAAATAAAAGCTTTGATGGACCATTCTCAGTCATGCCGTTTTTTAATAGACCATTTTGAGATATGTAAACAAAAAAACAATGGTCCCAGTGTGTTTCTTGTTTTACATTTTTTATTTCTATATCTTCTGAGAATCCAAAAAACAGCCACACATTGATCAGTAATGTTATGAGCTGTTTTAACATTAAGTTATGATTGAATTGCCTCTTGTTACAGTTATGCTGTAGTTTGATAATAAGAAGAAAATGGTCATGGGCCAATGACATGGCCCTATTGAAATAGCCTATAGACTATTCTTAAAAGAGCTATTACTTTTTAGTGGTGAGATCATGAAATAAAATTTGTGCAATAAAAATTTGTAGATGTTAAATCCAACTGGTTGGATTTTCTCAGAAGTTGTGTTTGTCATTGTTTTTCCCATATTTTTTTATTTGGGTTGCACTAACCCAAAATGTTTAGCCTAGGCTTGAACAAATGATTATCAAACTATTTGTTAAAACAAATTTGATTAAGATAAATATATTTAAAAAAAAGTTTTTTTGCCCTGTATGATTCAAATTTAGACTGCAACTACCCATATCTTTTAGAATAGGAAAAAAATACTGAATTACAATATAAAACAAATAAATAAAAAAATCCATTATCTCTGCAAACTTATGGCTTTGGGTGTATGGAGTTGCAACAACAACATGTTGCTTGCAATTTAAGTGTTATTGCGTTAAAACTACTGGCCAGATGCCACACCACTGAGATAAGGCCATTGAGAGCACAGATATACAATGGCTGGGGAGCAACACATACCAAAGAACATACTCCACTGAAGAGGCAGCGGGCAGAGAGCGCAGGAAGAAGCCTCTTTGCACTTCACTCTCTTAGTTCTACCTTTGTGGGACCCTGTCATAGCAGAACCCCCTGTCTCCCAGATATGGGCCAGCATACGGGCACAATAGATTTGAGTTCACCGGGTGACTTGAAACACTTAATGTTCCACCGCTCTCAAGCACATTTCCCCAACCCCACTCTATATGGTATAGTGGTGTGAGGTAATGAGTGTGTGTGTGTGTGTGTGTGTGTGTGTGAGAGAGAGAGAGAAAGAGAGAGTGTATGTGATGTGCTAAACAATACTAGGTAATCCAGATTTGTTGCACCATAGTGTTTAACACTTGTCCAAATGTGTCCTCTCCTGCTATTTTTTCTTTCAGGATTCTATGCTGTGCACCATGCTAATTCTTTAAATGAACAGGATTGTTACACTATCTGAATGGATTTACTGTCATTATGCTCACATTTGTAAATCTATGCGCAGGAGAGGAAATGAGAAGGGGAAACGATTTGCACATTTTGGGACAGGTCTTCCCCCATGCTCCTGTTGGTCATCCCTCTTCTACACCCCAGCCAGCCGAAGCGAATCCACAAATCAAATGTTCTGGAACAAGTGAAAAAGAGCTCTCTCTATACACATTTATAGAATAACAAACATGGTGAAAGTATATATGGGTCAAAGACAAAAAGGGGGTTTCAAGCATCAAAATAAAAAAAAAGCAGATTTATTATTAATATTTTATAATGTGTAATGTTAACATTATTTGCAGATGAAACTACAAAGAAGTGTATATACAAAGAAATTACATATTAAAACATTATATTTAGGCATCACAGTAGCCCCAAAATACTACTAATTAGGTTATTACATATCAAATATGTATATTTTGCCATTATCCTTAAACGGCATGGTTTTACAGATTCATCAGTAAGATGTTTTTAAATGTTTTTTAAACATTTCACACTATAATAAAATGCAACATGATCACTTATGCACTGTAAATCCCAATAAGTTAAGGTAACTCAAACCATTTGAGGAAGCCGATTGCAACCAACCATTTACTGTAAGTTCAAAAAACTAATCCTAATGAGTACTGTAAACTTATTCCATTTGAGTAAACAAAGCAATTTGAGCATAGTAAAACCCAATCAATGAAGAGAACTCAAACCAACTGCGTAAGCTGATTTCTACAAACATTTGAGTTAAAAAAACTAATCTATATGAGTACTGTGAACTTACTCCATTTAAGTTAAAATATTGAGGTATTTAATTAACTCATTACCTTCAACACTGAGTCAAAACTTTTTTTCTAGCGAGTAGAATTAACATTCAGTCAATTTTGAGTTAACTTCTCTCGTTTCATTTGATAAAGTTGACTGTTGGGTTTTACAGTGTGGTGGTTCATTTTGCTGTGGCGACCACTGATAAATAAGAGAGTAATCTGAAAGAAAATGAATAAATGATCACCTTTTTCTTTAGATATTTTAGTAAGTTTATGCTCCGTGACCATCAGACATTTATTTGACCATATTTAGATATTTTATTTCAAAACAAGTTAGTGAAACATTAAAGTAGAAGCTGCTTGCAAAGGGGTACCCAAACTTTTTTATATAAAGGGTCAAAAACCAAATATCATTATGAGCCGTGGGATGAAATACTGTATATCAGACTAAATTACATTAAAGTTGACATTATTTCCTAATTTATTTAACAATATTTAAAAATAAATTAAAAACATGGCTTTAACTTGTATTAAATAATGCAGTATACCATTTAAAATGATAACTCATTGCAATAAAAACATTGACAGTAACTAGTGGAGGAGTTCAATGCTGATTAGACTAGTCAAGCAGAATCTGCCTTTTCCTTGATTTGAAGACTCAGCATTGTCCTCTATCCATCAGCTGACAGTATGTACATTTAAACAAAATCTAAATAATTTACACTATTTAACTGAAACATTTAATTTCAGTTAGCTTTTAACGATAAAACAAAGTAAAAGTTACATTAGATTTGAAATTACAATTTCAAATCATGCCCATCATTCTCAGACGGGATGGTGGGCCAAATCAAAGGCTATATAGGCAAACTTTGGCCCACGTGCCCTAGTTTGGGTATCTTTGTGCCTGCATTTAATATATTTTCTATGCATGTTAATTAACTTTGTGGATTTTATATAATTCAGATACCAAAATAGGCTGTCTGACCATGTAAAAAGTTCAATGTATTTTTACATTTTACTTTTTTTTGTTTTATACAGTATATGTCTCAGCCAATCACCAATAAAAAAAAACTCTGGCTTCAGCCATCAGTGTAAAGACTGGCTACACAAGAAAAAATGTATATAGATTGATAAAAAGCATATATATTTTTTAAGCAACAACATTTGAAAATGGATAGTTCATTAAATTTACATTTAGCAGGCGCTTTTGTCCAAAGCGACTTACAGTTGAGTTGTTCAGCGATTCAAGCAGCAAGTAACTTGTTTGTGTTCGGAGAATTTAGTGATAGAGTAGGAGTTTTTTTTTTTTTTGGGAGCGAGAGAGGGATAGAGAGAGAGAAAGAGAGAGAGTGTGTGCTTCTGGAGGTTTTGGTATTATTCACTGGGGTTCAGGTGTTCTCTGAAGAGATGAGTTTTTAGTTGTCGTTTGAAGGATACTAGTGCATTTTACCAAGCATACAAGTGTATCATTATCGTATATCATATAATTTGCACAATAAAATTTAGCCCTCCTTTGAAATTTTCCTTTTAACTTCAAAAAAATATTTAGAAGGATTTACCAGAAATTTTGGGATGCATTTATTAAAAGTGATTTAATAAATTTAAGTGAATTTCTTTAGCCTTTGACATGACAGCAGTACATATTTTATTAGTTATTTTGCAAGATACTTAATCAGCTTAAAGTGCAAATTAAAGGTTAAAATAGGTTAGTTAGGCTAAAGCAAGTTAGGTCAATTAGGCAAGTCATTGGACAGCAGTGGTTCTGTGGGTAATTATTAACAAAAAATCTTAAGGGGCTAATAATATTGACCTTAAAAATAGTTTTTAAAATAACTGCCTCTAACTTCTTTGATTCCTGTCTAACTAAAACAAAAGAAACTTTCCCCAGTAGAAAAAATATTCTCGGTAATATGGTGAAAATTTATTTGCTGTATTAAACATCTCTTGGGAATATATTTAATTAATAATTATATAAAGCATTAATTATTATATAATTACATTTGTAATATGTGTTTAATATAAGTCTGATACGCAAACTATTTACAAATTCCTGTTTTGTAACCACTACACTAAATTTATTAGACATCAACTTATTTTCATTGATAAATTATTTAACGGTTATCATTTCCTAAGGGAAATATAAACATTCTTCATCCACTTTCTTAAATCTTGTGCACAGTCATGCCATTATCATGGGCGGTGGGGCATGATTCGTTGCACACATGTGCTAAATTCAATTCAACAAAGAGCAGATGATGCGTTTCTTTCTGCCCTTTTTTCCCCTTGACCACATATGTGCAATATTTGTTGACTCTCTGCGTTGACTCTCTGTTTACCTATGATTTTGTCTGTTTGTGCACACAGCCGACAGGTATGAGCCCATCGTGTGCAACATGCAATCACTAAAATACTTTCCCCGCATCACCAAACAGCACAGGAGCCGTGGAGCACCACTATTACTACAGCAACTCAATTTCGCACAACCAAAGGAGAGAGGAGGTGGAGACTACTTATCACTCCTACAGAGAGTTTCTAAGGTAGTAACCCTACTTTAGTGGTTTTAGTCCTAAATACTGCTTCTCATACCCTAATCCTTTAAGAGAGCCTTGTGTGTGTGTGTGTGTGTGTGTGTGTGTGTGTGTGTGTGTGTGTGTGTGTGTGTGTGTGTGTGCGCGTGCATGTGTAGTTATATTCCCCTTAGCCTTTTGTTGCCTTTAGAGAACCTTTCCTAGGACTATTTTTCAGCCCTGAAGCACCATGTTATGGAGGAACAAGTCTTTTGTGGTGTATGTGTGGGTTTGTGCATGTGCATATATACGTGTGTGTGTGTTGTGGCCACACAGGGCTAAAGGTTCTGAAGTGGGTTGTGGTTTTCAGCCCCCAAGTTCAAAGCTGAGGAGGGCTGAAAAGCGGGAAAAGATGATGAGACCTCTCTAATGCGCCTTATTTAAAAAATGTTAGGAATAAAGAAATAAAAGCTGCCCAGAAACAATGGCCGTCCTCCCTGAGAGGCAGCAGCAGCGGAGGTGAAGTGCCCTGAGATTGCAGAGCAGAGGCTCAAACAGAGAAGCATCTGGCAGCACAGGGGCTGCTTATAATCTGCCCTAATGATTAATGTCCTCCAGTAATTTTACTAAGGATTTCTCCTCTCCTTTTCTGTCATGAATGCATTGTTGAGGGAGCTGGGAGAAAGTATGCCCCTCTGTGTGTATGTGCATGCTGCCGGCGGAGAAAGTGACAGAGATGAGGTTAAGTGGGGCTGTTTAGATGTAACAGATGCTGAGTGAGAGAGAGAGCAGAATGAAAGGACATCTCAGGGCTGCGGGAGGAAAGAAGCTCGAGTGAAAATAATATAATTGCAACAGGGTCTCTCCATATCATGCCGTTTGCATATGCGTTTGAACCTGGAGTGTTGGATGTATGTATACGGCTCACAAACAGAGTCACAACCTGATCAATGGATAAAAGGTCTTCTGCACTCCAAAAAAGAAGTCATTGGTGTAACTTAATATGATTAGGATGCACATTTCCACACATTTGAATTGTGCTATAGTTCAACTTAATGCAGTCAAATGGAAACTAAAAGCAAAATTAATTTTGAAACAAGATTGAATGGAATTATCTTGCGAGTTCATCTTAAGCACAGTTTATTCTTGTTGAAGCAATCAACCCAAAACTGACAATACTGTCATCATTTACTCACCCTTTACCAGTCATAAACCAGTTTGAGTTTCTTTCTTCTGTTGAACACAAAAGGAGTTATTCTGAAGAAAGCTGGAAACTGGTAAACACTGAGTTCCATAGTATTTGGTTTTCTGCTAACGCTTTAAACCAACAAATTTACTGCTTATTGATAGTTAGTGGGGTAGTAGTTGGGTTTAGATATAGATAGGGTTAGGGATGTAGAATAAAATCATAATTTATGAGTATTAAAACAGCTAGTATCTCATTATTAGGCAGATTGTTTGTTAGATTTTATAGATTTTTTTAATATGTTAAACAATTCATCCATCTCTGACTAAACACATGCATGAAAATACTCACAAAACATGCAAATACAGAAACACAGACAACAACAAAATTGTGTCCACAAATATTTAATTGATTGTTTATTAGATTTTATGGAGATGCGCTCACACTGCAGAATCATCCCAATTAATCTAACAGTACTTATTAGTAAGTCATCTGATGAAATTGTATTTGTATTGCAATGTATATCGCAAAATAAAAATATATCGCAATGCTAGATTTTTCTTTTATATTGTGCAGCCCTAGTGTAATTTGTAGGGTTGACAGAAAAAAAATAACTAAAAGGTTTGAATTCATTGAGGACGAGTAATAGTGAGTACATTTTCATTTTGAGTTGAAATATCCATTTAAGTTGGACAACAAGAATGAACAACTAATTTGATGATGTTTGTATATGTACCATATGACTGGGGCAATTAAAGAGAGATTGATCTCAGAACTGGCATTAGCAAAGATTCTGCTTATTGACTGAAGCAACAAATTGTGTTGTTGTTGTTAATATGGTTCTTAAATACCTTCTTGGAAACTCTTCAAAATCCTCCAAACGAGTGAAGATTTAACTATCAAGTCTTTCAGTTAAGATGACACTTTTTGTCAATATTTACAGTGTTCAGCATAGATAAGTACACCCCTCACAAATTTCTCTTTTAAAGTAATATTTTTAATAGGAAGCAATACAATATTATGTTTGTGCATATACATTGTATTAGCCAGTACTGATGCCAGATTTGCAGTGCATTTTTTTTTATTTGTATGTGTTGTGAGTATTTTCATGCATAACTATCTTTAAATATAATCAAGAAAAAGATGCAATTGAAACAAAGTGTTTTATCATTTCCCGAGTTTATCTGTATTTAAGTACAGTAACTGAATGATAAAAATAATTCAATCAAATTAATCATAGTTATGGTCACAAATGGTACAATTTCAATGTCTAAATGCTTTTAAAATCATTATATAATCATAGGCATCATAAACGCATGCGAATGATGAATTATAACACAAACTCAACATTGCAAATCTTGAGATGTGACTATTGCGAATGCTCACATTGCAACATCGATGCTGAAACGATATATTGTGCAGCTCTAAACTGCACTTTAAAAAATTCTGCTTGCTTTAAAATTTTAAGCTGAATCAAATTAACCTTATGAGTCCATTGAACTTATTTTATTTTAAACTGACTTGAAACTCCTTGCATAAAATTATTCATGTACTCCCATCACAAAATGCTGCAGTGAACTCATTTTTTAAAATAGAAATAGATGAACTAAATAAACTGTCAACCATATTAAAGAAATGTCTTGTTTCAGCTCATTATTTAAATAAGTAATTTGGGCATGCAGCAAAAAACTAAACAAACAAACAACAAAAAAAACATAAAGTCTTTTTTGTTGTTTTATTACTGCTCATATGTTGGACTGTAGGGCAGGAAGTTTTTTCTGGGTATTTGTGTGCACAGAGGATGTGCCGTGGAGCAGGAGGGAGGCCGGCAGTGTGGCAGAGCCCTTACTGAGTGTCATGACGGGAGGGAAGAGGAAGCGAGTTGTGTGTCCACCAATGTTTGTCTTCCCCTGCGGTCCTGCCCGCCTCTGTCACACACTATTGTGGCCCAGGCAGATTGATGGGCAGCAGTGGCAGGAAACGAGCTGGGAAAGAAAAAGAAAAAAACTCTGAAGCAGGTAAAAGAAAATGCCGTTTTTTTTTTTCTTGTCACGCATTTCTGATTTTCAATACCACTCTCAAGATTCAAACTTAATATAATGTAATGTAATGTAATGTAATGTAATGCAATATAATATAATATAATATAATATAATATAATATAATATAATATAATATAATATAATATAATATAATATAATATAATATAATATAATATAATTTTTCTCTTTTTTTAAATATTTCCAAAATGATGCAACAGAGTCAGGAAATTTTCACAGTATGTCTGATAATATTTCTTCTTCTAGAGAAAATCTTGTTTGTTTTATTTTGGCTAGAATAAAAGCAGTTTTCATAAAAAAAAAAAAAAAAAAAAATTAAGGTCAAATCTATTAGCCCCTTTAAACTATATTTTTTTCTGATAGTCTACAGAACAAACCATCATTATACAATAACTTGCCTAATTATCCCAATCTGCCTAGTTAACCTAATTACCCTAGTTAAGCTTTTTAATGTCACTTTAAGCTGTATAGAAGTGTCTTAAAAATATCTAGTAAAATATTATTTACTGTCATCATGGCAAAGATAAAATAAATCAGTTATTAGAAATGAGTTATTAAAACTATTATGTTTAAAAATGTGTTGAAAAACTTTTTTCTCTCCGTTAAACAGAAATTGGGGAAAAAAACACAGGAAGGCTAAAAATTCAGGGGGGCTAATAATTCTGACTTCAACTGTACATGTCTGACAACATTTCTTATGAACTTTAGATACAAATCCTTTAATTTTGGAGCGTTTGTTTCAGAAATGACAACATTAATTAGTTGTGATTTAAAAATCAGGTTTGTTCCACAAAATATTGTTGGTAAAAAGAATTTAATATTGTTTTGTTTCAAATATGAGTACATGTATGTCTGAAAACATGGCACTTATTTTATTTTTATTTTATTTATATTATTTTACTCCAAATAAAGTTATCTAAATGAAAACATTCTATTTTATTTTATTTTCATCAGTTTAAATAAACTTACACACACAAAAAAAGTATTTTACTCAAACATTTAACTACAAATAAAAATGAGTGACTGGATTTTTAAGTGATCTCCATAGCTCTACTGGACCATAATTGTCAATATTATTTTATTATATATATACAGTTGAAGTCATTATTATTAGCCTCCCTGTTTATTTTTTTCCCGCAATTTCTATTTAACAGAGAGATTGAACACATTTCTAAACATAATAGCTTTAAAAACTCATTTCCTATAGCTGATTTATTTTATCTTTGCCATGATGACAGTACATAATATTTTACTAGATATTTTTCAAGACACTTCTATACAGCTTAAAGTGACATTTAAAAGGCTTAACTAGGCAGTATAGAGTAATTAATGAAGTGATTGTATAATGATGGTTTGCTCTGTTGACTATCGGAAAATACAGCTTAAAGGGGCTTAAAATGGTTTTTTAAAAATATTTAAAACTGCTTTTATTCTAACTAAAATAAAACAAATAAGACTTTCTCCAGAAGACAAAATATTATTAAACATACTGTGACAATTACCTTGCTCTGTTAAACATCATTTGGAAAATATTAAACAAAGAATAAATATTTAAAGGGGGCTAATAATTAAGATTTCAACTGTATATTATATATATGCAAAAAATTGTAAATATTTTACCGCATAAAAAATTACTCACATCTTAAAGACTCAAGAAAATAATCAAAAACACTTAATTTAGCAATCATTTCTCAATTTAAAAAGAAACTGTTAGTTCATCCCAAGCACACTTTTTTTCTTTTTTCCCCTCAGTCTTGTGCTTATGCTTTTCTTAAATCTCCAGTAGTGACCGTAGTTTTACCGTTTACCCCACGCTGCAGTATCACAGGTCAGAAGCGCTGAACCGGAATCTGCTTTGAGAAGCAGCAGGATGAAAAGGAATCGGATCCCAGAAGAGTCCTTCTGTTTTAAGCTGGGTTATGAACACTGGTCCAGATGGCAGGCAACGGGTATGTGCTTAAAGAGAGCCAACTCTCTCACCCTCTGCTGTTCTTCTTCCTGCGCTCTGTCAATCTTATTGTCCTAATTCAGTTCAACATGCTTTTCTTGGCATGAACGAGTGGACGTTCTTCCTCTATTTTTCCACCTCCTTTAACTGCATCACCCCATTCTAGTTTTATAGTCTGGTTTTTGTGCTTGGTTACCTTTCTTTCTTTCTTTCTTTCTTTCTTTCTTTCTTTCTTTCTTTCTTTCTTTCTTTCTTTCTTTCTTTCTTTCCTCTTGGTTATTCTGTTTGTACTCGCTCTATGAAAAGAGCACGAGACGAGAGAAAGCGAGAGGGAAAAAGGTCAATCTCGGGTGACTGATATCTCTCCGCACCAGGTCTATTCCATATGCTCACATTCAGTGCAGGCCCTCTTCTGCAATGCCTGATTGCGGATTTTTTCATTTTATTTTATTTTATTTTATTTATTGTATTTTATTTTTATTTGTTTATTTTTATTCAAATGTTTTAAAGGTTAACAAAAAGTACCAATTAATTTTATTTTCACAGCATGTCTGTTTGACTGGATGTGGATTGTTTTTATGTCTGACATTAAATGTTTGTGTGCAGAATGTCTATGGGGTCTCAAAATTCAAATACAAAATTTGAACCCTTAAAAAGTCTTAAATTCACTGAAATATTCCCATAACCTCAAAACCTATTTTTTTTATATTTAACTTTTTTTTTATTGCAAAGGCATACAATTCACAGCAGTCAGACATTTTGCAGCAAATTCTCCAAAATTAAATTCATTCATTCATTCATTCATTCATTCATTCATTCATTCATTTTCATGTCGGCTTAGTCCCTTTATTAATCCGGAGTCGCCACAGCGGAATGAACCGCCAACTTATCCAGCAAGTTTTTACGCAGCGGATGTCCTTCCAGCCACAACCCATCTCTGAGAAACATCCACACACACATTCACACACACACTCATACACTACGGACAATTTAGCCTACCCAATTCACCTGTACTGCATGTCTTTGGACTGTGGGGGAAACCGGAGCACCCGGAGGAAACCCATGCGAAGGCAGGGAGAACATGCAAACTCCACACAGAAATGCCAGCTGAGCCGAGGTTCGACCTAGCGACCTTCTTGCTGTGAGGCGACAGCACTACCTACTGCGCCACTGCATCGCCCCAAAATTAAATTCCCTATAGGAAAAAACTAAAGCAACACATCTCTTTATGTGATTTTCCATTAATAAAAAAAACTATTTACAGAAGTAACCTGGTCTCTAGAAACAAAATCCTAGTCTTTAGCCCTGTATAAGTCTAAATTTTTATTCATAAGGGTCATAAAAAGTCCTAAATTAGATTTTCAGAAACCTGCAGAAACCCTGAGTGTGTTTACTCAAGAAAAAAACAAACAAACTACCAAGTTCAACTAGAAAGTTATTGTTAAAAAAACGTATGTTTGTAGGTACAGTGCTTAGCAAACATAAGTATACCCCTTACAAATCTATTTTTTAAATTCATATATTAATAGAAGCTATACAATATTATATTTGTGCATATACATTTAAATTAAATTTAGTTGAAATTTTGTAGGTTTTAATTGTTCTTGCAATATTTAGCTTGAATTGTGTTATCTTTCAATTTCTAAAGATGTTTGGTGACTAAAATATTATTTTAATAATTATATCTGTTTAATAAATTAGTTTTGTTTAAATGCACCAAAATACATTGCTTATGTTCACTGAGAAGTGGATAAAAATATTCATTTTTAAAATGTACTAAATTATACTGAGCACTGTAGTTGTGTTTTTTATGTGACACTGCATCAAAACAATAAATGCAGCAACATTATGTTGTTTCTGATTATTTTTATCCAAGATTGTATGAATTAATACTACTACTACTTAGGGTTGTGGTAATGTTGAAATACTATACCATTTGAAGTATCACAATACAAAGTAGTATTGTGATACTGTAATTCATAACTCAAATAAAAAGAAAATTGTCTGAAATACTATATTTTATGTTATAATATGCCTACTTTAACGTAACTCATAATTCAAAAAGTATTATTTGCACCTCACTTTATCTAAAATCTGTTCAATCTTTTTGTTTATTTTGTAGATAACTGACCACAAAAATAACCAACAAAATTACATTAAAATCAAGATACAAATTATACAGAATGAAATTTGTTACAAAAGAGCTTTTGTCCAACACAAGTAGGCTGTATGATGTGGTCAAAAATTGTTTCAATGTTTCCTGTTGCTATTTTGGGTTTTTCATCTATTTCTTTTTTCCAGTCTTATCAGTTAACAATACAAAGTAATTAAAAATTTTACTTTGTGAGTCGCTCTTTTTAATAGATTGTCACGGTTGCTGTAGCTACTAAATAATATTGACAGGAACAGAAATGAACCGATTTAGATCTTTATTCGAACTGCAGCTTTAGAAAACGTGCAATAAATTAAAAAAAAAAAATAATAATAGTCTACTGTTGCACAAACGTGTGAGCATTTTAGTGACTTTTCTACATGCAACATTATCTATTGTAGATTTAATGACCATTAATGATGATTACAAACTACAGTGGCCCCACCAGTATTTTGGAGCCGTAGTATAGGGTATATGCCGAGCTAGTGCTGTTTCCATGTTGATAAACTTCCGGTTACCTGTTATTGTTAGTTTTTTCCATTTTAAGCAATACATTTTACAGCATCGATGTTGTAATGTAATTAAAATACAATCAGTTAAATAGACTCTGGCATTCATTTAGTTGCTCAAGCGCAAAACGAAACAAAAAGCCGTTTAAACGCACTCGCCCATCAGAATCGGCAGGCTAGCGCAGAAGCTCCATTGAATATACTGGGGTAAAAAGAAATGCTCTTATTTTAAAGATATGGCAGGGGAAAATGTAATTTAATGCAGTGCTTCTTGTACAATCTGAGGCCCACTTTATATCGGATATCACTCAGCCAGTGGAAATCGCTGATTTTTAAAAGAAACAGACCTTAAACGTGCCGTTTTTGCAATGGCAAGCAGTTCACAGGAAGCGCTTTACCCAGGTTACTGGCAAATTAAAAGTCCAATTAGCATGCTTCGGCATATACCCCATTGCGATACTACCATGGTACCGGTAAACCGTGCAACCCTACTACTACTACTACTACTACTACTACTACTACTACTACTACTACTACTACTACTACTACTACTACTACTAATAATAATAATAATAATAATAATAATAATAATAATGACTGTGAAAGAAAATTTTAAACTAACTGTAATTTAAAGATTTAAATCCTAAAATGTTAACAAAATACACTCTAGCTAAAAAACATTAAAATATGATATTTTTATGATTGTTATTTATTTATTTATTTTTTTGCATGTTTCTTTTTAAAAATTTACAAACATGGATTAAATCAGGTAGAAATAGCTCTATAACCATTTAAGTGCCCCACCAAGAAAAAAAAAATTGGGATTGCATTTCTTAACTCCTAGTGTTGCTGGTTAACACACTCAATGTGTTTTTTTTTTCAACACATCCCATAATTTCGAAAATATCAACCTCTACCAAATAGTTAATGCGTCGATTTATGTACCAGAATAAATACATATAGTATGAAAAATCTAGCAAAAAGTAGCTCTTTTAAAAGTACTCAAGAGTAGTGAGTATCACACTGTTCAAAGCTGATGCATTTACATGTCATTTGTGGATGTGTGTAAACGTAATATTCTGTAGTGCATTTAGTTATTGCTCAGCAGGCACACAACATCAAAAATCATTAATTATGGGTTAGATTAAGGTTGTGATGTCTGGTGACCAAAATTCAATGTCAATGTCAGCGTCTAAGGACAATGTTTTTTAGATATCCGAAAACGACGTCACATGATATTACAAAACATTGATATTTGGTTCATTTAGGTTGTTTGAAAGTGACCAAAGTCCATTGTCATATTGACGTCAAATACTGCCATTAAATTGTCATATATGCCAACCAAAATCCAACATCTGATAGTCGTCACAGTGGTAACGTCCACACAACGTCAAGCTGTAACATCATTAGACATTAATATTTGGTTGATTTTATGTTAGACGTTGGACATTGACATCATCCTGATGTTGAGTTCTGACGTAACCCCGATTTTTCATTTCCAAGCAAAATGCAACGTCCTCTATGATGTTGGGGTACAACGTTAATCTAACGTCATGTTGACGTCTTGTGTCCTGCCAATGTTTATATTAATGTAATTATAAATCACCCATGTCTTGAGGTAGTTCAATATGATCCGATTTACCTTCTATGTATGATTTGATTAGACAGAAATCACAGGACTGTTTTTTTCTAATCTCCATAGACAAGAAAAATAGTAGTGGCTGCAGGTTGAGGGAAAGTAGTGAAGTAAAAATGTACTCAAGAGAAAAGAAAAAAGTCCACATTTTTAAAACTACTTAGTAAGGTGCAATGCCTGAGGAAAAACTACTTAATTACAGTAGTTTGAGTATTTTTAATTTCTTGCCTTACACCACTGCTAAAGTAAACCATTATTTAAAACACAGTCACTTTAACAGTCAATATTTAAAACTGTTGAAATATGGTCAACCATATGGTAGAGCAGGCAGTTAAAGGGTTAATTGCATGAAATCATGTTCACCTTGAAAAATAAAGTTGCAGTTATTATTTTATTATTTTTTTACAGTGGTTTGCATGCGAGTGTCAGTTTTTTGTGTTGACGTAGCAGTAATTTAAAGAGGCAGTGTAGTGAATGAATGTGTGTGTGTGTGTGTGTGTGTGTGTGTGTGTGTGTGTGTGTACGTGTGAAGCGGATCCTGTTGAGAGTATTTGTGTACACAGATGCAGATCGAGGAGAAAGAGAGCGAAAAAGAAAAAGAGAGAGAGGAGATTGGCCAATGTGTTAGTGTGGAGAGGGCAATCGAGGGGATCGTCTTCCCCGCTGGCCCTTGCCTGGCCCCAGCCGCGGTTCTCCAGGGGTCC